CCCCCCCCTCCTGAAAAATGTGAACGCTAACATGAGTGAACATTATGGTTCCAAAGGATGCCTTCTGCAATAGCATTGCTTTGATCCGGCGCAATTTGGCTGTCGCACTCTCTGTGTTGACTTGTGCCCATACCATTTAGTTCAAACCTGCTGCTGTCTCTGCGTCTGCTGCGGCCACCGCCGTCGCTGCTCTTCCTGCGCTTCCTGTCGCGCTTTTTGGGCCGGCCACTATCGCTACGGGGGACAAAAACTGCGATTTTGAGCAGTGCTGCTCATCTGCACCGGAGCGGGCATCACCCCGGCCGTCGCCGTCGCCGACAGGTGAAAGAAACATGCGATGCAAATGCAAATGTATCAAACTTGTTCACACCAAAGAACGGGCGGGGAAAGAAAAAGTTTGCCACAATACATCTACAGGATCAAATTGTTGGATCCTCCCTCTTTCGTGGATATCTGCGTCTTTTCCGAAATCAAACCAGCTGCACCATTGAGCTGACTTGACCGACACACCTTTGCGAATGCAAGCAGGAAAACCTCTGAAACCATGTCAAACACCGGGTGCAGCTGTACTTGCAATCAGACCTAGTCTAGTCTTGGTTTTTTTTCTTTTCCCTCCTCCCCGTCATGGTCACGACCCCCGGCTGTGGATGGGCTCGGGTACCGATCTCGCTATGCCCCAACCACGTCTCGATTGCCTCGGGAAGTGTGAAGGAATGGGTTTCCGCTCAACCCAAGTACAGTACACATGGATGGGCCAAACGTGATAATGAGTGGGCGGCGGTGAACGGTTGTTTTCAACGCCAATCGCGATGCGGACGCCACTTGTCTTTCTTTTTCTGTGTGCTGACACCTGTCTGTCTGTCTCTTGTTCCTCTGTGTGGTTAGAGGGAAAAACAAAAAGACTAAGACACGCTCATGTTTTTGTCCGAGTATCCTTGTTCGCGAAATTGTTTTTCCTACCAGTGCATTGCCTCTCTTGTTTTCTCATGTTCCCGCGGGTTGACGCGGATATTCCAGGTTCGCGACGAAAAAGAACATTCACCTGATGTGGATCGCGAGGGACCACGGCATGATGGCGCTCTTCGAGAAGCAGGTGCGTAGATGTACCCTCAAACGCATGGGAATGTTGCGAGGGCACGTGTGCGATACTTGAACTGCACATAGCTACTGCTTGGCGTCTTTCATCCACCGTTGCACCAAACTCGAGAATAGGGCGTGTCGTGACGATCGTCCATCCATTTCGTTCAATGAGGAGGAAGCTCCGCGTTTCGTGACGGTCAAATAGAATAGGCACCAGTGTGTTTTGGTGCCTAGCAGATGATTTCCCCTGCCACAGCTAGCTACGTGCTACTTGTCAGAGTGTTGTCCGGCCCTTTTTATTGTCTCCTACGATGCTGCATGCCTTGATGTGTGTTTCGCAGCTGAGGATGGTGACCAGCACGGTGCATCTCACCGGCAACCCCGACGAAGAGATCAAGCATGCCATGTCCAAGCTCCTCTCCCGCTCTACGAACAAGTTTTGCACCAAGAAGGGGAAGTGGGTCGGGGATGCCGAGGTGGGTGACGATAAACCAAGCTCGGATTCCGGCATGCTTTGGGAATCAAGACAAAGTACACCACACGAGCTTCTGCGAGTGGCACGTCTGAGCGCACCGCCATCGCCCCACCGCCGTAGGTTTCCTCCACCATGACGTATTCGGTCGTGAACAGGCTCTTCGTGTGCGAACGTGCTCCACGTTTATGGCCCCGCCTAGCACCCTTTTGTCTCCATTGTTGTAGTTGTTATTGTCGTGCCCTCTGCGTGGTTGAGTTTGTTGTTCAAGTACGAGGAACGTCGACAACTGGCGTGTTTTCTTCGCTCTTGTTCCACCTAGAAATACTTGTCGTTTTAATTTTTGCAACAGTCTCAACTGTTGTTCACCGTGCGTGTTCTTGACTGGAACAATGTGTGTTAGTTTCTTCCCATAGCTTCTTGAACAAGCAACTAATACTTTTTTTCTCTCTTACAACAAGTCGATTTCCCCTCGTCATTTATCTTCTGCGGTGCACGTCATTGATTGGCGCGCGTCAGGCGGGGGAACTACTGACGCATACGTCTCTGCACAAGCTGACGCACTCGTCGGTGCACAGGCACGGCGACAGCCTCCAGTCCGTGATCGCCCGTGCGAGGCAACACTCACAAGGCACCATGCTCAGCGACATCGAAGACGACAGGACGAGGGTGAGTACGTCGGTTTGTTTGTTTTGCATGCGAGAGCTTACGGACGTCATCTCGCCAGGTGGTACTGTCCATTACTGGTACTCGTGGTCGTGGCACACTCCCGTGTACTCCCGCACGGTCGTCGACTTTCTTCCCCTGCATTCGCAGTTATCATACTGTTGCGGCCAACACTCCCGGCACGCGTGCGCACCTCCCCCCAAACGTTTTCCTTCAACTGACACGTCATCCGTGCCTCATCGTAGCAAACAAGTGAGCCACCGTCGCAATGCACGTCCATTTCCGTCCCTTCGTGGTTTTGATGAACAACGTGCCAAATATCATTCTTCTTCGCTCGGCCGTGGCCCTTGCGCTTCCAGGAAGACACCACAGGCTGGGGAGAGCACGGTGACATGCCCCCCCCCGTGGCCCACGATGTCACCCTCAACTTCGGTCGACCCGACATCGCCAAGTTTATCCTGGACGCCCTGAACGCTACTCCATCGGCGACCCTTACCTCGGGCATCGGCTTGTCTGGGACCGGAGCGACTACGGGAATAGGAGCGGCGGGGACGTCTTCCAGGTCCAGCGGAAACACCGCAAACGCGGCCACCAAGAGGATGGACAGCCAGGTTTGTGTCAGAGGAAGCGCAAGGCATGCAAGGCTATGTATCGTCTATGCTAGCCCGTCTACTTTACGCCTGTAGTAAGAAGAGAGACAGGCTAGCCTAACACTGCCCCCCCTCCTGCAGCGGGGGGGGTGACTCTACTCTTGTAGATGCAAAGCGCATGACTAATGAGACGATGAAGAAATAAGAAAACAGGACGAATAAGCACGTGGGCGAACCACTATGGAACGAGTACCAACTGTTCCTTTGCCGTGACTCGCACGAAAACGGTGCTCGTGAACTACTCGTTGCACGATGCTTGTTTCACAGACCAACGTCGGCGTTGGGTGATGAACATGTCTTGTGATTCTCTGATTAGACACCATCGGCGTGTTGCCTCTGATATTTCGGCGGCACCTTCAGTTGATGTACGACACAGATGTGCGTGGTGTACTCGCCGACCACCCAGCGGTGCTGGCGCTTTTGATATACCATGGTCGTGCATACCCTTGTACACATTCCGTGCAAAGACTGCGGATAAAAACAACCCATCTTCGTGCTGCATATAACAAAACACATCGTTGTACTGGAGTTTCTTTTGGTCAGCCAATGGGAACTATGGCACGCGCGCACCATCCTACCCCAACCTATCGCTGTCATCCCTTACCACTGCGTGCACAACGCACGACATTCATCAACTCCGTTGTTACATCACGGCCTCAGCTCCCTCCTCCTCGTCATGTTCCTTCCCGGTGAAGGTGACCGAGCACCTGGATGCATCCCAGAAGAAATCGAGGACCGTACTCATCAGGGCCAGCACCAGCACCGTGGAGAACATCAAGAAGGTGAGGAGAAGCATAAGTTACGCTCAAGTCTGGCGGGAAGACCTTGACGCGTAAATTTCGTTTACACGTCTACCTCTTGGCGTTTATCCCGGCAACACAATGGGAGAGGCGTTACTCTTGTCTGGACGTACTTTGAGCCTATTTCGGGCCGTGTTAATTGCATCCTTTCGCAAGACCTTTGAAGTGTGTTGAAGAAATTCGAGCACGATCTAGCAGACCGTCCCCCCCTCCCCCACCCTGCCAACATGCACCCTAGCACCTAAGAAACTACCTTGGTGGAAGCGTCTGCGATCGGATGGTAGAAAGCGGGACCAACCAAAAGTTTACTGCAGCAATTTTGGTGTTGCCGTGTTTATGGTTCGCTGTCGTGTAGTGAAGGAAACCTTTGACGGGAGAAACGTTCATTTCTGCAAAAGCTACGACCAATTGCTCGACTTGCTTGTCGGGAGTTGTGTGGTATGTACCATCTACCGACGAATTTGATCGGGTCCTGCACACGCTTTTTCGTTCCTTGTCCCATGCACGAAACATCGCCCACAATTCCCACCCACCTCGTTGCCTTGTCCCTTTGAACAGAACTCCGATTCGGGGTCACGCAGACAAACTCCTCTTCGGTGCCGATTTTTCTAGCTACAGATATGGAGCGCTCGTGTTGCGCGAAGAGACTTTGTGAACAAGGTGTTGCGATGGAAAATCGACCCCTAGGGCAAAGTCAAACCAAACCGGGTACGGTTGAAATGAGCACATAATGAAGTAAACAGTTAAGACTAGAGGTGCTACGAAGTCAAGGTTTGTTTCTCATCACCGCTTCTCTCTCTCCACCGTCCTCGAGATTCAGCAACTACTATGCGTTTCTTCTTTTGAACACAATTACCACGTGGACAGCTTTGACATTTAGCTACATGCTCACCGTTTGATGAGCGCGGTTTGTGTGTTATTGGTCGTGCCATAACAAGGGCGGGTGTGCTATCGTGTGCGAACGTGAACCTCAGCAATCTCGCGACTCGGATAACGCCGCCTCTCGCAAAGGACGGAAGGCCCCCAACTACAAGCCCAAGTCGTTCCCGTGGATAGTCATCTACTGCGGTGCCAACGCCAGGGTGGAAGAGGTGTGTGTGTAGGAGACGGTAGAGAGGCGGTATTCTTGAACGAAGGAAGTACGCAATTTCAACCACTGTGTTTCCCCAGGGAGCCCCGAACGTCGCCATCCAACCGCTACAAGCTTTCCATATCTACATGCCGCCACACAAGGCTCTTGCCCTCCCCTCCCCATCCCCTCCCTTCCAGTACCAATCGATTCCCCCCCGCCAGTTGGTGTTTCCACCGAGAGGCAAACGATCCAAGAGAGAGAGAGCAAGTTAACCGACGAGCACGCCCCAACCCCACCCCGCCCCCTTGCCCCCCTTTTCTGGTCTGGATGGTTACCCCTGACTTTGGACCCTTTGTCCGTTCTCGGCCTGTTCTTTCTGCTTCTCGCCGCTGCAACGCTGTCAAGGTGATCGCCTCGACGTGCGACGAGCTGAACGTCACTTGGCGCAAGGAGTACTTCGGGGGCTGGTGAAGGGCTTCGTGGCACAGCTCGACGGAGAGAAAAAGACAGCAGCAGGCTGCCCTTGGCCAAGCTACTGCCTTGTTGTGGCGGAGATGAAACCTGCTGGCTCGGAGGATCGCGACACGCGCGGCACAAGGCCTTGCAGTGAGGATTCGACAGCGGTCTATGACTCCAGCAAGCACCAAACTGGAGCATCAATAGCAGCTGTTGACTGTCGTCGTGGCACCGAAGACGATGTTCCGGAATTCCATTAATCGGCGGTGACGTTATCGGCCACGTGCGAAGCGAGACCAGAAATATCGACACCCAACGAGCGAAGTGCAGTAGCTGCTTGTCTGGTTTTTGCCGTGCGATGAGTGCACGTTAGAGCCAAGCATAGCAGTATTTTATGTCTTCTGTGGATTGAAAGGACAGGGTCAACTTAGTAAACGAGATAAATATTTTGCGTGGATCAACAGGAATGTACGCACGCCCTCGGTGTTGCTCCTGCCGCCCTTGGCACCGCTGTCAGTTGAACCCGAGCATGTCTGCTTTGCGGGCTTTCTTTGCGTTACGGGTTATTACGAGTAATGATGAGTAATGGCGGCCGACAAGCAACCACCATCATCGTAAGTCGCACAAACAACATCGTGCTACAAAAAACAGCGTTTCTTTCGAAAGGCCACCACAAAAAAAACGACCATGTTCTTCCTCTTTCCTGAACAAGAAACAACCTCCTACACCCCTTTTCGGAACAGAAATAACACCACACCGCCCCCCTTCCCTTGTCTTCCCCTGTCTTCGCCCTTAACTTACGAAAATTGTCCATCTCCCCCTGGAGAGGTTAGTTTGTGTTTCCCCTGACACGTCGTTCGTTGTTCTATTTGCGCTGAACAACAATATCTCTTTCCCTCCCGCGGGAATACTAATACCTTCAATGACTAGTCTTTCTGCCATGTGATCAAAATAAAACAAAATTAAAAATAACAGGACCAACCCTTCTCGTCGGATACAATACACATCGTCAACCGAAATCCCCAAAAACAAACGTATCGCGCCCCCCCGCGGCAGGCAAACGCGCTCTATGAATAGCGCACCAAGGGCGAAACACCGCTGCAGTAGTTGCTTCCTTGCGAAAATGTACCAATCGCCCCCTTTCGATAATACTGCTGTGTAGTAGGCAGAGCAGAGTCTCGCAAAATCAATCCAAAACGAAAACCGAAGCCCTTTGGATGTTGTTCTTCAACCTTCAAGACACCGGTATAGCCCAACACTCGTGTGCACTACCGACGTACAACAACCGCCTGCAGTATCGAAACATAGAAGGATTGGTGTTTCGGAAAATAGGTAACGCGTAGTCAACCATCGAGGGAATCAACTCTATTTTATTAGTCGTCGAAATAGACACAACACACACATTGCTTGCCAAAACAACAGGTACACCTGAGCTGCCATAAACATTGAAGCAAAGATAGATATCCATACATCCACCCACACACACACCGTGGTCGAGGTCAAATAAGAGAGAGAGATACACACGCACACACACTCCGGAGAATAACCTAGCCTCCCCGCGTGACCCCGCATCACGAGGCCCCAGATCATGGCATCTAGAAGATTGCCCGGATTACACCGCGCTGAAACTGGCGTCTATCAATGGTCAATTGGGAAGCGTGTGTATCAGAAAATAGGTAGCAAACAGCCAACCATCGAAGGAACCAAATCTAGTCGTTGAAATGGACACAACACACGCACGATGTGCCAAAAAAAACATTTGACACCTGGTCTATCAATGGTCAATTGGGAAGCGTGTGTTATCAGAAAATAGGTAGCAAACAGCCAACCATCGAAGGAACCAAGTCTAGTCGTTGAAATGGACACAACACACACACGATGTGCCAAAAAAAACATTTGACACCTGGTCTATCAATGGTCAATTGGGAAGCGTGTGTTATCAGAAAATAGGCAGCAAACAGCCAACCATCGAAGGAACCAAGTCTAGTCGTTGAAATGGACACAACACACACACGATGTGCCAAAAAAAACATTGGACACCTGACCTGCCGGAAACGTTGAAGCAAAGAGAGATATCCACACCCACGCCCACGTGGTCGATGACAATAGGAGAGAGAGAGAGAGAGAGAGAGGCACACACACTCTCCGGAGAATAGCCTAGCCCCCCCCCCGTGACCCCCCCTTACGAGGCCCCAGATCAAGGCATTTGGAGAAGCATTTCCCGGATTTAGCCGCACGGAGACTTGAGTCTTTCAACGGTCAGTCGGGTAGCGTGGTCGATGCTGCTAGTAAACAATAACACACACACAACACACACACATGTTTCCTACGTCCTGTAAATGATGCACTCGCCCTCCGAGTTGCGTTAAACAAAAACCTCTGTCGACTCACACCACCGGCACTTGAAGGAGTGCTCATGGATCGACTCATCTATCTGTGTCGCCACGGACAAGCGCAACTAGCACCGCCACCGCAAAAAGCAGCCCTCTCCATACAAGTAGCAGAATCAGCTCTCCACGTCACGTGCCACACGAATTAACTGCTGTCGTAGCACCGGCAACTAGTGCGACACACAAACACGGGACTTTCGTGGAAGCCACAACAAAACAAAAAAAAAACACTGCCACCAGCAACGGGTCCCACTAGGTGCCAAGAGCGGCCATGACGACCACATCTTCTATCCACCAAAACAGAGTAACGCTTGGCAGAGCACAAGGAAGCGGGGAAGGGAGGGCAGGGGGGCGCCTGCTCTACAAAATAATCCATCTCGCTCCAATCGTATAAAACAAGAACATCCTTACATTGATTGTCGGGCACGTAGCACAGAGTATGGCAGAGTCAGAGGGTATGCCGGGGTTTGTCGGGGAAACCTGTGTTCGAAGAGGAAGGATGCCCGGACAAATGCTGTAGCTGTAGCTGCAGCTACTTGTGCTCGTCACCATCCCGTCTTTACATCGTCCAACAACAACGGGGGAGGGGTGGGGGGATAGAACAAAATGCTTTGGCAATCAACCACTCATTCCCATCAGCTCCTTGCAAGAACCAACAGCAGTCAAGTTTTTTCCTCCACTGCTTCACCGGGATCAGTCCCGGTAGCCGCAGCAGATCAGACACAGACATGCAGAGGTACTTCCAAAGAAGCTACAAAACAAAANCGCATGAAGGGTGTGTTGCATCCTGCTAAGGGTGTTCGGCATCTTGTGCTTACTTCCTTGCTTAGGGATGACAGCTGCGTATGAATTACTATATTTTCTGGTGCTTTCACTTCCAGAGACAGTTGTAAGCACTGTGTAACTGCCTCGAGGGTGCTTGACCATTTTAACACAACGTGGTGCGATCATCCCCCTTGCGCGGAGCGAGGGTTCTCCACCCCGCACAACATGATCTACTCGACCACCATTATGGTTACCGCCAAAAAAAAAAACGGAGGTAAAAAAAAAAAAAACGGTAACCTGGTTGCCGAGTTCACGAAGTGAATTGGCTTGTTTTACAACGTCGTTGCCAAGCGACGAAAACCCAACCCCGATGGCAAACACCGGGGGGGGCGGCTTGTTTTACAACGTCGTTGCCAAGCGACGAAAACCCAACCCCGATGGCAAACACCAGGGGGGGGGAGGGGTGGGGGGATAGAACAAAATGCTTTGGCAATCAAGCACTCATTCCCATCAGCTTCTTGCAAGAACCAACAGCAGTCATCTTTTTTCCTCCACTGCTTCACCGGGATCAGTCCCGGTAGCCGTAGCAGATCAGACACAGACATGCAGAGGTACTTCCAAAGAAGCTACAAAACAAAAGGGGTATCCCCACCCGAATATCAGTCGATACAGCGGCCACAAGAGCGCTCCAACACCGTCCCCCTCAACTCGCAATAATAATACCGCTGTCGGGTCTCCCGAGCTGAAGACAGACACATCGGTAATACACCAGATGACTTTGTCGTTCGACGACATATGCAAACTGTGCAAAGCCAAGTACAAAAAAAAAGGACGGAACAAAAGCGCGAACGCAACGCTATGTAGTAGCAAGGGCTACAAACGAAATCAAACATTCCCATCAGCTTCTTGCAAGCACCAACAACAGCAGTCAAGTTTTTTCCTCCACTGCTTTACCGGGATCAATCCCGGTAGCCGCAGCAGATCAGACACAGACATGCAAAGCGAAGTGAAACAAAAAAAGACGGAACAAAAGTGCGAACGCAGTGTTATGCAGCAGGGGCTGCAGATAATTTCCGCTGGCAGCAGCAGCATACCCTACAACACATGCAGAGGGGTATGTACTTGATCACAAAGCGCGGAAAAACAGAATCCCCTTCTCCACAATAAAAACGTTCGACATGGCACGAAGCGGCTAAAAGGGCGCTCCACTCCTGACCAAGTCAGCTCGCAATAAAAATAGTCTCCCCGACCGAACAACACTCCCGACCCGGGCCCCATTGTATCCGCAGACAACAACATGACATAACCACAGCATTTGATCGCGATCATTCTCCTCCCTTCGGGTGAGACAACGAACTAAAAAAAGAACGGGAAAAAAAAATAAACAGCCATGTAAAACAAAAAGACAAGCAGCGAATAATAAAAGACTGCAAGCGTTCCCGACAAACAGTAGTAGCCCCCCTTACCCTTTTGTGTAATAGACAGAGCATCACCAAGCAACGAACAAGATGAGACCTAAAGGGGTCTTCAGTTCCAGAAAGAAAACGTCCCCAGGCACCGCCATTCCCCACCCCCAAGTGCAACAAAATAAAACGCGTGTGCGTGTGTGTACATGTCACGATATAGACTGATTGTCTTCGCCGAACCCATGCCATCGGCCGGTAACAAAAAACAAAAAGAAAAAAAAGACGTGTGTGTGTCCACCTGTCGACTGTCTTAGCGAGTAGCCCTTGCCCTCGAGTGGCCAACAGTAAAAAAAAAAAAGCATGTGTGTGCGTGTGTGTGTCTCCATCTACGGCATGCTTTCGTAGGCAATCCATATCCTAGGTCGGCAGTAGCGACAGTCAAACCAAACCAAACCTCCAGACCTAAAAAGGGATAATTAGTTCCAGAAAAATGTCCGCAAGCACGGCCTTTCCACACCCCCAAGTGCAACTGTGTGTCTTCATCTACGGCTGGCTTTAGCAGGCAATCCATATCCTAGGTAGGCAGCAGCGACATCAAACCAAACCAAAACACGACAGCTAGACAGGTCTTTCGTTCCAGAAAAAAATCGACCCCAAGCACCGCCTTTCCCCACCCCCAAGTGCAACAAAATGAAACGCGTGTGCGTGCGTGTGCATGTGTCCACCTGTAGACTGTCTTGGCCGAACCCATGCCGTCGGCCGGTAACCGAAAAACAAAAAAGATAAAAAAACACATGTGTGTGTCCACCTATCGACTGTCTTCGCAAATAGCCCTTGCCCTCGAGTGGCCAACAGTAAAAAAAAAGAAAAAAAACTATGTGTGTGTGTCCATGTACGGCATGCTTTAGTAGGCAACCTGTATCCTTGGTAGGCAGCAACGACAATCAAACCAAACCAAAACACGACAGCTAGACAGGTCTTTCGTTCCAGAAAACAATGACCCCGGACACCTGCCTTTCTACAACCCCCAAGTGCAACAAAAAAGAAGTGTGCGTGTATGTCTCCATCCAAGGCATGCTTTAGGAAGCGATCCATATCCTAGGTAGGCAGCAGCGACAGTCAAACCAAAGCAGCAAAAAAACAAACGTGTGTGTGTGGGTCTCTCTCCGTCTATCGCATACTGGAGTAGACAATCCATCTCGTTAGTGGCAGGCAACGGCAAAAAAATTAATCTCAAAGCCAACCCGTCTCCTCCGTGCCGAGCTTCAAGTGTCCTGCTATCCTACCCACACGAGAAAGCTTTACCCATCACAATCAAAGCAACAAGAGAAAAGCAAGAAAACGACTTGGAATTATGACTGAAGCAGACCCAATGAGTAATAGCATGCTAGGTGGATGCGCTTCTCTCGATATTAAGTACATGCTTACATAATCTACGTGTCTCCAAATTCGTGAAATCAAATGAACGCGCATGCACTCACTCACGAGCTCGAGGCAGCACAGAGGGAGATAGAGAGAGTGTGTGTCGTTCGGCCCAGGGGGAATCTCGGGCCAAACGAAAATGAGCACGTTCATGGTCGGCCCCATGGGCATCATCCCCAACTACTCGTCTCTTCCGCCAGGTCCTTCTTCCCCCACCCCCGCCTCCACCATCGCTCTTTGCCCGCACCACGGTCCTTGCCCTCGCCGCGGTTGCTGCCAGTGCTGTCAGTGCTGCCAGCGCTGTCACTGATGATGCTGACGTCGTCACCGGCGGACCTTTTGTTCGACAAGGCACAAAAACGAAATAGACACCACAGGAAAGTCACACGAATATCAAGTATACTTCGAAGAATCATAGACTACAACACTAACGAGTGAATTTACGGCCATATTGTTTTTTTTCGTGCTTCCGTATGGCGACCTATGTACTCGTGGCGTTTGAAGTAACTATTTGTGACTAAATTTTTCGATGGAATAACGTTCCGCAGGGGGCATACACATTCATGGCTAGCCACTTTTGGATGGGGCTGAGTCCAGCGTCGTCATGGTTGCGCTTAAACCGGACGAAAGCTGAGACCATGCACGACAACGGAACAAAGTTCTTTCGCAGTGAAATAGTAACAAACGACTGAAAGCAAGGCGATTGATTCGTACCCAACACAACACGAGCACTCTGTATTCCGAAATAACCAAAACGAGGACGCCAGGTCAACCTTCACACACTGACTGGCTGGTACACAACCGCCTTCTTGTAGGTCACTTACCACTCCACCTTGCCACGGGAGTTGACCACGTGCAGGTCGCCGGTGTGCTCCGAAAAGCTGGCGACCCCGCCGCCGCGGCCTCGGAAAAGAGCGTCGATGACGCTCCTCGGCGGGGGGCGGGGGGTTGCGTGGGTGCGGCAGAAAAAGCCGCGCCCAACCACCAGCCGTTCGCCGCTCATGCGCGCGTGGTGGTCGAAGTCGCCAATAATCGGCAAGGCCCTGCGGACCAGCCTTTCCATGGAGCAGAACATGCCCCGCGCCCCGTCCTGCCCATTGCCGTCGCCGCCGCCGTCGCCGCCGTCGCCGCTCAGGTCCTTGCCGAGGACGGCGGAAAAGGGCACCTGATGGTGTTGTGTTGTCCAGTCCAGTCGAGAGGAAAAAAAAAGAAAGGGTGATCGGGAACTGAGGTCGGTGAGGTCCTGAACATGAACACAAAATAATCTTGTTAACTCCTGACGCAAGTGGGTTTCGTTACGACGGGGAGGGGTCCGGTGTACAGCAGTACAAGTAGCGAGATTCTCGCTCTAGAGAACACTGAATCTTCTGCGCGTGCGTGTTCCCAAAGGAGCGAAAAGTGTCTCCACAAACACACCTCGAAGAAGAGGAGCAGCCGCACCGGCGTCACCCCCATGCGCCGGTATTGGCTACAGGGGGAGAGTGTTATAATAGTCGATTGTACAGTACCATCGCCACTACCTCCTCTGCGACTGGACTTACCTCCTTGCCATCGGTCCCCGAGTAGACGGCGCCGTCCGTGGTCACTGTCAGCCGGGCCTTCCAGCTGACCCCCGGCACCCACCCCAGGTACCGGGAGCCCCCCTCGGACTCGATGCACTCGCCGACCGCCATCGGCCCTTCGCCTGACGCCAGCGAGGTGCGCCCGCACGGCACGCTCAGCGGCCTATGCGGGGCCACGGAGAAGACCAAACATTCAACGTAGTGATGAAGGGTTGGGGGAAGGGTGTGGGCTTAGGGGGAACGGTACATGATGGAGACAACGAAGGAACGAAGACGAGACGAGAAGTGGAGAAAAAGGCGATGCCGGCTGTTTACCGTGTTCCAGACGAGACAAATCGAAGAGTGACTTGTACTGATGTGAGGTCGAGTTGTGATCGATCGCGTGCTCTTCAAAAACACTTGACGCTGTCTCCTTCTTAGGTGCACGCTTCTTCCTATTAGCCTGCCTGCCTCCAAGCACGGCTTATCCCAATTGCTTTCTTCACTCTCTCCTTGCTCCTCTCACCCTTGCAGCAGCAAGACCGACCACGTGCCGACTGCCACGACCACAGTCATCAGCAGCATGACCGCCTGCCACCACCACCATCCCTTCCTCCGTGCCAGTGCCGTAGCCGCTACCGCCGCTGCACTGGCCTCCGCTGCCTCATGGCGAGCCATCTCCTCCTCCAGCGCTCCCTCCAGCGCTGCCGCCTGGGCTGCCGCTGCCTCCGCCCGCAGGGCAGCCACGTGTCGACGGGCAGCCCGTCCCCGGTACGCCGCCTGCATCAGGACGGCCATCGTCCGTCGGCTGCGCTCTCCGCGCGCGAACTCCCTCCCCACCCGCCCCCTCATCACCGCCTGCAGGCGTACCACCGCGCGAGCCTGACAGCAGTGCAGGGTCGATTCAAAACACGGGGAGCTTTTGCAGAAAAGAAACGGATCGGCGACACATACAGTATACATGGTCTGGTGTAGTGCGGCGGTAGAGTGCAGGTGAGGTCGTCGCTGTTGCCATGCGGCGAAAGGGTACAGTTGGGGTGCTGCCGTGGGCAGCACACTTTGAATGGGTGTGCTCGCACACGCACTAGATCAGAGCAGTGCGAGCCGTCTACCAATGTCGCGATACATCTACCACTGCACGTTGAGGTGATCAATCGTGCTTTAGTCAACCCGTCAGCCTTAGGAGACACCAGTGTCTACCGCTCAACAGCCCGTAGGGTCCATCCACACCGTTCCCTTCCAACAACAACAACATCAACACCCACACGACCTCGTTACTCCTGATCGTCGACAGTGGCGAAAAAAAAGAGCCCCTTACCTCCCGCATCGCCTGCTCTCGCGCTACTGCTGCCGCTGCCTCCGCCCTCCTCCGCCGTCGAGCCCGGAATGCCCGCTGCATAGATACGGCAACCTTCGCCCTCGCCATCGCCGCCAACGCCATCCGCAGCGCAGCCACGCGTCCGCGGGCAGCCCGTCCCCGGTACACGGCCTGCACCAAGACAGCCATCGACGTCAGCCGGCTGCGCTCTCCGCGCGCGAACTCCCTCCCCGCCAGACCCCTCATCACCGCCTGCAGGCGTACCGCCGCGCGAGCCTACCAGCAATCCACGGTCGATTCAAAGCGCGAAAAAAATGTCGGTCGAAAAAAAGTTAAGAACGGAGAAAGATAACATGTTAGCCGGAAGTCGCGCAGAAAGAAAAGAGCTCGGCAAGGTGACACGAATACACCGTCTGGCGTAGATGCCGTGCGCAGCACACTCTGAATGGGTGTGCTCGCACACGCACTAGGTCAGAACAATGCGAGCTGTCCGCTAATGTCGCGGTACATCTACCACTGAACGTTGGGGAGATCAATCGTGCATTAGTCAACCCGTCAGCCTTAGGAGACACCAGTGTCCACCGCTCAACAGCCCGTAGGGTCCACCCACACCGTCCCCCTCAAAACCAACAACTGAAACATCAACATCAACAACAGGACCCCCGCCCTCTTGGTACTCCTGATCGTCGACGGTGGCAACAAAACAACAACGCCCCCTTACCTCCCGCGCCGCCTGCTCCCCCGCTGCTGCTGCTGCTGCCTCCGCCCTGCTCCGCCGCCGAGCCCGGAATGCCCGCTGAAGAGGCACGGTGATCTTCGCCCTCGCCCCCGCCAGAATCGCCGCCCGCAGCGCATCTGCCTCTCGGCGGGCAGCCCGTCCCCGGTACACGGCCTGCGCCAGGACAGCCATAGACGTCAGTCGGCTGCGTTCTCCGCGCGCGAACTCCCTTCCCACCCGGCCCCTCATCACCGCCTGCAGGCGTACCGCCGCGCGAGCCTGACAGCAGGCACGGTCGATTCAAAACATGGGAAGCTTTTGCAGAAAGGAAGCGGACCGGCGACACGTACAGTAACCATCGTCTGGTGAAGTGCGGCGTTAGTGTGCAGGTAAGGTCGCCGTTGTTGTCGTCGGAAGGGGCGGTACACCTGAGGTGATGCCCTGGGCAGCACACCCAGCTCGCACATGCACTAGGTCAGAACAGTGCGAGCTGTCCACCAGTGTCGCGATACATTTGCCACTGAACGTTGGGGTGATCAATCGTGTGCATTAGTCAGCCCGTCAGCCGCAAAGACAGCAGCATCCGCCACTCAACCCCCCGTCGGGTCCACCCACACCGCCCCCCTCCAACAACAACAACAACAACAACAACAACAACAACAACAACATCCCCCCCACCCACTTGTTACTCCTGATCGTCGACAGTGGCGAAAAACAAAAACGCCCCCTTACCTTCCGCGCCGCCTGCTCCCGCGCTGGTGCTTCCGCCTGCATGAGCCAACACATGCGTCGGAACGCCTCTTGCTGAAAGGCGGCAAGCGCACGTGCGAGTACAAAGAACGATAGGCACACTGCGTCTGTGTGATATGGTACTGTAGTGTGCAGCTGAGCTCGCCGTTGCGGCCGTGGGGCGAGAGGGTACAGCCGGGGTGACGTCGTGGGCAGCATACTCTACATGGGCGTGCGTACACACGCACAACGCAATGTCGCGATGGAGCTTCCACCGAACGTTCAAGCAGTCCATCAAGCTATCTGCGGTGCCACAGCGCTGTTGTGAGCTTGCTTACTGTAGTTCGAGCGCCTGCTGCCACTATAGCCTCAAACGTAACATTACCATAACCTAACATTCGAGACCCACCCCGTGACTTGCCATCGCCCATGGATACCGATATCGATCGGGGTTCAGCCTTGCAGCAATCAACATCAAGATCGACATCAATATCGACATCAATATCGACATCAACATCAACCCGTCAGCCCAAGAGACAACCAAGATCCACGACTCAACCACCCGCCCACTCGAGAAATAAAAACAACTACAACACCCCCGCCCACGTGTCACTCCTGTCCACCGAACTCGGCCAAAATAAACGCCACCTTACCTCCCACTCCCGTATCTTCTGTATTATCTCACGTTGGAACTGCTCCCGCCCAAGTTGGAGCCTCTCCTGAATGGCGGCAAACGCAAGTGAGAGTACGAAGAACGAGAGGCACGGCGTTTGTTTGCCAGCTTGTGTAATACTCGATAAACAAACTGCGGAACACAGGCAGCATTCCTACCGTTGGTGTTCGATTACGTCTGAGTCTTGCCATCGAGCTCACGGATGGGCACCTAGTCCAAACAATATGGATCATGTATTGCTTCCCCAAAACTGAAGAAAATGAAAACACCCAAAAACAAACACGAAACACACCCAACCCATATAGATCCTGTGACTACATTACTATCGGTCATATATACTGCGATGGTAGGGCCTACCGCTGACTGCTATCGGGCAGGCCTACCTCCGCCAGATTGCGCGGCTTTCTGGGGTTCCTAGCCGGTAACTGCCGAGGCGTTGGCGCGACGTATGCCGAACGGATGTCCCCGAAAGCGCCACGGTGCAACAGGAGAGAGATAACGTTCAGTGCCGTCATGCAGGGTGGAAAATGATGAAAGGATAAGGATGACATCGCGTCGTTCTTGCGTCGCCACGTCAATGAGGTAAGCATATCCACGATAGCAGCATTACTTCTCTCGGACAGACCGCGAGAGTGAAAATAGCAATATTGCAAACCACCTCGCAAACCCCTGCTCAATTTCCTTGTCGTTTTGGGATAGGACGTTCTTCCGCCTCGCGAAAGCAACACTACCCTACCCGGGACTCCACGAAAGCACGGCGTCAGGCACAAGAGCAGCTCGGACACGCAGCGCAGCTCTCATGTTTAGCCCCAAACCGCAACCATCGGCAACTAAACACCCACCACGTCGTCGAGGCCCGCAACCTCCTCCAAGCCGTGCGGCCATCCTCCAGGGGTTTCCGTGGTGTTGGGTGTCGCCGCCGCACCCTCCGCCCCGAAGCCCCTTGCTGGGCAACCCGTCCGCCCCGCCCGCTCCATGGGCCCCGCCGCATCCACCCCCATGTCCGGCCCTCCCCTGTTTGCCGTCCCTCCCCCAAGGCCCTGGCTTCCACCTTGCGCCAACTGGAAGTGACCCCTGTCGCCGTGTGCTATTCCCGGTCCGTGCAACGTCGGCCCCGCCCAGGAACTGCTGTACCCGCCACCGCGTTTGCTCGGAACAGCGTGGGTGGGAACTCGTGCCCTGCCACCTCGCAACGGGGATATGTGGCCTCCGCCACCACCATCACCACCACCACCACCGCCGCCCTCGCCGAGACCTTGGCCCCGGCGAGAGTGACTGCCGTCACTACCGCCGCCGCCGCCGCCACCGCCGCCGCTGCCACTGCCACGGCGTGACGCACCGACGGCATCACCGGGTTGTGGGCCGTGGTGCTTAAAGGTTTCGCCCCGGTCCCGTCCTGGCCAATCGCGGGGAGCGTTTCCCCCGCCTCCCCCTCCACCCTTCGCGCCCGCCCTTGTGCCGCCGGCACCGCCGGCACCGCCGGCACCGCGTGCCGTACCGACGCCGTGGCCATCATCGCGGGCCGGGCGATAGTAGCCATCGCGTTCCTCCCTGCCCCATCCTCGCTGATCGCGGGTAGCGTCCCCCCAGCCTCTCCCTCCACCCTCAGCGCCAGCCTTTGCGCCGCCACCGCCGCCGCCGCCGGCACGGGCCGCACCGCTGGCACCGGTCGGGCGGATGGTGAACGCCGGGGCACCGTGGCCATCGTCGGGGTGCGGGCGGTACCTGTCCATGCTTTCGTCCCTGCCCCACCCTCGCTCCCCGCGGGAAGCGTGTCTCCTGCGCCGTCCTCCCTCCCCGCTGAAAGCGTTTCCCCTGCCTCTCCCTCCACCCCCCGCGCCACTTCTTCCGCCGTCCCTCCCACGCCTCCTTCCACCACCGCCATGACCACGGCCCGGCATCGCTTCAACAGCAATCTGCTCAAAGGCGAAACGAGCGACAAATCGACGAGTGATTGGGAATTGGTTTCGGGGCTGGTGCAGTCACACAAGCATGTGCGTCGATGCATGACACCCAGAATTAGAAGGACATTTATAATGTCCATAGAAAAACGCCGGACGGGGACAGGAAGTGCTAACATCGTAGGGCAGGTGCTGACTGGTTTCTAGCCACACATACAACCATACACCGGATTGGGAAACATCATGCACCATGCGCATGACAACGCAGGGCTCCTGGATGTTGCCGCTGAAATCTCGCTCTCTCCCAAACGAACAGCGGAGACAGCCATAATGCTGTAAGATGAATTCATATCTCGAACAGGTAAAGTTCATCTGATCCGATGTACAGAATTTTTTTCATCACCGTCGGAGACAGACATACTGCTGTAAGATGCTTGACTCCAACGGTTAAAATTTCTCTGATCCGATGCGTACAAGTATCTTTTAACACCGGCAGCTGTAAGTGTAATACAGCAGTATTAATAGTATATTCAGCAGGTACCAAGATACTTGAGCAATAGATGGATTACGTAACGGGCCATCACACTATGCGTGCGCTCCACAAACCTTTGTGCGGCGCACAACACCAGTATGGACTGAGATAGTATACTACTGCTGTGCACGGTGCATGAGTCTAAAAAAGCAAAGACAAAAAACGTATCTGCAAATCCATGCGGTTCTCATCTGGATCGCGTGGCCCACAAAAAAAGGAAAAGCGCTACGATCCGTACACAAAGGCAACATAGGCGTGGCAAATACCCCGAGTCAGTTGCAAAGCAAGGATTGTACAACCTAGGTAGTTCGGATGGGTGCATCCTCAGTTCGGATGGGTGGATCCTCCTCCCAAACAGCACACGCAAACCGTGGCACCTTCAATCTTACTCATGCTGCAAGTCGTCCCTCCTCTCTCTTTGAATATGTGTTTCCTACGTATGCAGGGAGAGGCTGCAGCAGCAGCCATAGGTTGCAGTTGGATCGAGGTACAACTTGCACTCACCTCCTCGGTTGCTTGGAATCGTCCGGTGTACTCGTCAGCAGCTCCGTGCCTCCGCTCCTGAGTCTCTAGACTTCCTCTCAACCACCCGCGAACCTCTTCAGGATACGTACAGGCTCGATCTTTTCTCTAGAGTTAACTCTCGCTGCCGCAAAAGACAAGATCCTGCAAGAGCAAAGAGCCGTGAACACACCGCTCGCTGTGCCAGTCCCCGATACGCCTGTCGCCGATGCTGCAAGCTACACCAAGTCTCACTGAGCGCGATGAGTCGAATCCTGCTCCTGAGATACAGGGCCTCGAAGCGGAGTGATAAAAAGACATCAACCAATAAGGGCGCGCCATGTGGCTGGCCCTGCGAAAACGCGGGGGAAAAGACAAAAAAGGTAACCGTCAGATTCTCACAAAGATCTGCTTCTTCAAGATGGATCTCCCTCTCCTTGTGCAACGAGGCATGGACACAACAACAACTACTGGCGATACATGCCAACGACGATCAGTCCCGCTCTTACCCCTCACGTTCTTGCCGGCCTCACGAAGGATCGCGATGACTTTCGCAGAAGCCGAGTAATGTGCGCGAGAAGCAGTCGGCACATCTGCTGATGTGTAGAACCAGCTTCACTACGGCATGTACTATACTGCCGTACTGCTGTAGAGTTTTCCGAACATTGTCCGCGAGAAACTGCAAGACAGCGAGGGTGGAAGGGCGGGGGAGACAGAGAGGATCAGCAAGCGTTTTGGGGGTCCACCCACTTCTACCTTGCACAACTGCAGCAGCAGCAGAAACAACAGCCTGTACTACGATTGCCATCGGTGGCATGTGTATAACTATACAGCAGTCCTACGCGTGGTTGGCCCCTCTACTACTGCTGTAGAAATATGCAGTTCGCCCCACCCATACACAACATAGCAGTTGGGACGCTGGGAGTCTCCTGTCATTACAACCTCCCTCCTACTCTCCCCAACAAAAGGAAGAGGTCAATGTTACCAACACGAGCCTACTGCTGTACAAAGCTTGTGCGAAAAAGCCGCAGCCTCCCTCAGCACCTCTGGCCAGCAATCAACAGCTGCTGGACACCGAAGAATGCCCAAAGGCAAGAAAGAATATATCTCATCTCTGACCGAGTTGGTCTCGCCCTCGTGATAGCCCAGCGCCCATCCCGAGGGAATAAGATCTCATCATGTCGGTATGCTTGACCGGGCGGGACAGCAGTAAGTAGGAGTGTGTGTGTGTCCTTCGTGTCTTACTCCGAGAAGGGAAGGGTACGTATCATCGACCAGCAGTCACCCCCACTGCGGTACTGCTGGTACTGCTGCTGATCTGAGAACGGTACGTAGTATCGGGAGACTTGCACAGGGCACAATGTACGCTTGTATGTTTTGCGGGAAGGCTTTCTGTCAATAGTACATGGTGCACCCGAGTGCACGTGTGAGGCACAATATGTGGAACTTGTGACCGACAATGTACGGGAGGCAACATGGCTGCTACTCACGACGGAATGGATGATATACAAAGCTCGGGCGACTTGCATCATAGTTTGAAACGGCGAGCAGATGGAAAATGAGCTACTTCTACAAACAGCAGTGTTCAGACTTGTATCCATATCATGTGTAGAAACTGCTGCTGTAAAACACAGCAGCAGTACCGTGGACTGCAGACTAGACTACTGCTGTACCACGTAGTGACGGCTGGCTGTGTACAGCAGCAGCAGTATTTCCCAGTTTTTCTCTTGTCGCTCTGTGGGTCGTGCCAGCTCCCAGTTGATGCGCGGAGGGATGAAAAGGCTCGCAACCCATCGGCGGGCAGCGCGTCTCGCGCCCCGCGGAGGCGCAATCATGGTGCAATGAGGTTCAAAGTGATGGCGAGTTCGCCTTCCAGTCACACGCGCAAAAAATATCCATCTACGGAGGAAAAGACAGGTCTCTGTCTCGATCGCCACTACTGTAGTTCCGTCTCCCGTGTTTAACAACACGCTGCTGGTCGCTGCAAGACCCCAGCTCTTGCTTTGGAGGGAGAGCCAAGCACACAAACCCCACTGCTGTGCGCCGTGCCTCGCTCCCGGCTGAGACGCGGCCATGCGTCAACGAGCCGGCCGAGGTGGCAACTGTCTACACTATCTTGCACGGTGTAGAGAAGCAACAGCAGTGGTTGCTCGACTGCGGGGAGCCAGACGACAATCGCGACAGCTTCCCCTCTTGGGGTTGGATTAGATCAGCAGATGATGATGCACACAGCCAGTAGGGCGCTTGTATTTGCGTCTTGCAGGGCCTTTCACGGGGTGGGTGGCACCGCGGCTTCTCAGGGGCAGAAAATCGAAAATCATGCTCGTCTTGAGAAACGCCTCTCTGAATAAATCGAAGGACAGGGGGTGGGTATTGCTTGGATTCGGTCTGTTCAATTTTTTTCGTTTTTTTTTTTTGTGAAGCAGACAAGGCATGAGAAACGAGCGAGTGGAAGCGCTGTTGAGGTTGCGGTGGTGTTGGACCGGCCGTGTTTCGCATAGAGTTTGGTTCAGCAGTTGATGTTGGGGCAGCTTCGGGAAGATTCGTCCGTCGCGCCGTTGCTCGGCCGGTTGTGGCCGTTGGCCGAGCGAAACGAAAACAAGGAGGCGACTGGGTGGTACGCACGCAGCATACGAAGCGCCTGGCTGGTGTCCTCCCGGTTGGGTGTGGGGTGTTTCGTTCCTACTTGGTTGACTCGGCGGGAAACACATATCTCGACTATGTGTTGCAGATGGTAAGCCAGCGCACGAGTGTTGCTTCTTTGATGTTCTTGTGCCTGTTCTGCATTGCCAACACGGGACTGACAGTCTTCGTAGACGTTGTACTGCCGTACGTACACAGATCGCTGTGGCTTCGACTGCGGTCGGACTGCTGTACAGCAGTGTAGGTGATTGTTCTGACGTTCGAGATGAGAGATACGTTCCCCACGTGCGATACTACGTCTACTTCTTGACTACACCACAAACCTGCCACGCCACGAGCCGCTAGCTGGAAAAGCGAAATGGTATATACATAGGGCGTTGCGCTCGAACCTCACATCAACGGGGGTGTGGACGTTCGGTCGTACCAAAGGGACCAATCGATCAAAAATTAAAAATTGACAGCTCTGACCTGCATCGAGTGACAACCAATTTTTGGTGTCGCCCGCTCGCTCGAAACATCCGACTCATGGCAAATGGGTCTTTTGATTGAGCTTCCAGGTTCGCAAGAAGAGTTCTTGATGTCGTGCCTCGGGCCCTGTGGTCATTTGAATGTATGGATGGCAGGCAGGTCAGCTCGCGCGCGGTCGCAAGATGTGCGATGGAGTTCTACGACGCGACGGCAGTGCACTCAAGAACAACGACGATTTGTGATTGGTGAATAGTGACAGTTTCGGCCTGTTCTACCATCTAACGTACCAACGTACGAACGCCGTAGCCGTTCGTAGACAAACTTTGAAGCCGACTCACGTCGGTCGACCGGCCAAGTGCAGAGGCAAGATGAAGCGGCAAACAACACACTAGCAAACAGTACATAGCCTGGCATGATCTGTACGTGGTACCTGAAATGTGTACAACAATCGAGTTTGTCACTCGCAAAGTTTGGCTTGCTCTAGAAGGAGGGGCTGAAGGATCGGGTTTGCGAACAATCACCGCCGCATACATATACCAACCACCAAGGGACGTGGCATGTGAATTTTGTCGTTATCGTTGTTTTCGTGGCTTGTGTTCTGGCCAGTCTACACCGTTGTTGGTGTATGACACCACGGGTGGAGGTCGAACCCCCTTCCCCAAAATGTCGGATGCCCGCGCCCGCTTGTGGAGACCTTGTCGAGGCCAATCACCTTGGGGAACACAACCAAGGCCTCGAAAATTCCTCGATTGGAATTTTCGAGGCCTTGGTTGTGTTCCCCAAGGTGATTGGCCTCGACAAGGTCTCCACAAGCGGGCGCGGGCATTCGACATTATGGGGAAGGGGGGTTGACCTCCACCTGTCTGTGATGTTACACTACTTACAGTGGCTGCGAGTACAGCTCGAAATATTTTCGCACAAATCGTAATCGTGACCCGGACGGAATCAATCGTCAAGGGAATCGTTCCTCTCGACACACGTTGGGGAGACACACAGATGTCACCTACAAAATCTCCGATGCAAACTTCTGCGGTTGCACACATCGGACAACAAGTTCCGAATTACGGTAGTACATGGTGGTCTACATTATAATAGCAAAAACCCGACAGGGTCTTGGTCTAACAATATGCAAGAATGCTTCGAGCGACGACACCCGCTTTCGACATTCACTCAATCAAGTACCTCGTATCTTGCGCGCACCACACACAAGCAAGTGTTGGGTTAGCGCTAGTCGTACACTGTCGCCCTAACAACAAGGCCAATAATGCTTAATCGTCCTAGACTCTTCTACATGTAGATGTGAACGAAAGCAACGAGTAGAAAAAAAGTGAGCACAGCAGCTCGTGACGCGTACAACAACGTAAAAGAATGCTGCGCAGTCATATCGTTGCCGGTCTTGGGTTTTGGATCGCCAGACTCCGCCCCCAATTGGTAGGGTCTTTCGCGCAGAGCAAGTAGCTCTCAACGGTGTCCAGGGAAGAACCGAACAACACCACTGCTTTTACGTACTTTTATCTACAACGTGCGTCCTGTATGAATGGAATCGATGAAGATAACAAGCAGCAGAGAATAAACAACAGCAAGGTGACCAGGCCATGACTCTCTTCCCTCTCCTCCTACCCAACACCAACCAAGTTACTGTAGCCCTTGCTGGCCACTATCCCTAGATTATAACCGCCATCCTGGCCGAAAAAAACTTACAACGAAGAAGAACATCGAATGGCTCGAATTCGCAATGGTTGCCGGTCTGCCGTCGCGAGTATCCTAGTACTTGATGTCAATGTACAGATAATAGTCCAAAAGATAAACGCTACGACTACCGTTCGGGTTGTGCACAAAGCAACATTGGCACGCAACCTTCTGTACGCACCTGAACACAGTATTTTCGAATGTCCCCTAACCACACTAACTTGGAACATATCCGTAACTTTAACCTACGCAAAGAACAGAGTTCGGATGGACACACGAGAGTACCAACCATACACACACTCCGTCCTTTTCCACTGAACCGTGTCTCCGGCCCGATGAACCTACGTTGGTACCCTTGCTCTCCTCATCAGCACGGTCGCAAAAACCTCCGCTATTTCCTCTCCCCGTGCACTTCCCATCTCACCTCTTACTGTCCTGCTCTTTTGTCATCTCCAAGCCCTGCAAGAAGAAATTTCAAAATATACTCCTCTTGAAGGCTAAAAGACATGTCACCATATATTTCTCCACCACCCGCCGCCTCGCGCTGCCATCCGTGTGTCGAGAGGGATGCATGCGTGAACGAGACATAAACCCATTCCCTCTCCCCGTCAAGCCGAAACAGCCACCGCCGCTGCAGCGCCCTCCACCGCCACCCCCTGCGCCTCTCCTCCAACCCCCGTCACCGCCGCCCGCCGGGCAGCCTCCAGCCGCCCGTAGATCGCCCCCACCGCAAACGCCGCAGCCTTCCTCGTGGAAACCCCTTCCTCCTCTTCCGGAGCGTCAGCACGTGCTGGCGACACTGCCGCACCGCTCTTGTCGCCCTCGGAGAAGGAGAAGGACGACGACAAGGTCGACGTCGAGGCGGCTGCCGCCCTGAGCCCCGCGTGAGCTTCCGCGGCCAGCTGCAGGCGGGTCTTGGCCGGGGCGTTCTCGATGAGGGCGACGAGGACGTGGGCGCAGAAGAGCGGCCATGACGCGTCCTCCCCTGCCCCTGATGTTTTTGCACGGGCCAAGGGAAAAGACCCGCAGGGATGAGAACGAAAGAAGCCGACAACGCTTGAACTACATACGTTGGCACACATAAGTGTGTTGACCACTTGACCGCCGAAGCTAAAGATAGCTGCTGCTAATATGGTATGCGGCGACGCATCAGTAGTCGGCCTCTGAATGACGATTGCTTCGTAGCATACACGTGTCATGTGGCAGCGTAAGGATCGGGAGAAAGGCGGCACAACCTGAAACTGCTTCCCCGGATACTTCGTTCCGCGAGAACTTTTCAAGTGTTCGACTAATAGTTGTGCCAACTCACTCCCCCAATGCTGGGTCAACGTACATAGGGTTCTGGGTGTCAACACTTAAAGCCAAGAGTCAGCAGTAGGGGATGGGCACGAAAGGGACCGGGGGGCGGAAGTACGATAGCGGTAATAAAAATGCCGTGCATGAGGCAAGGTCTACAGGCCAGCTGTTTCGAGGCTTACGTCGTGCATACCACGTCACTACGAGTGAATTGACAAGCAAAACGAGAGGAAAGACTCCAACCCCACAACCACCAGCGTTGGATGACCGAAACGCCACCGTCGCCGACAACAACAGGACATGGTTTTGCGCACACACGACGCCACCTGAGACGCAACCGTTTCCCTACCGGAGGCATCCCCGAAGGCGGCCAGGTGAGACAGAACCAACGATCCCGCCGCCTTGGAAGCCGGCGAGGAGCGGAGCACGCTCTCCAACACCGCCGCCGCGGGCCTCGAGAGCTGCAGCAGCAGACACCCGGGAGGCTCGTCAGAATCGAGGTCTTGCACGGCGCGTATTTCGAGCCGCGTGAGGCCGTCGATGCTTGGTCCTGCCAGTAGGGGACACAAGAAAATACAACACGGGGGCGAGGGGTAGCTCGTCCTGTGTCTTGCCCCAGTCGTATGGTCGTCTCTTCCATAAGGGAGCGCAACCGTTTCAACCCCTAGCAAAACGCGTACAAATATCAAGTATCAGCCCGGGAAAACGAGGGGACACAAGAACAATCTGGACACATGAATGAGGCATGTTCGTGAAGACCGACGGGGATACTAGACGGGAACATCAAACTTGACGGACGCTTCTTTGCTCCATGGAAGCGGAGATGCCTGGCATGCACGTGTGTTGAGTGTAAATAATAATAGTAGTGATTCTGGGGAAGAACCCAAATTTGTTTTTTTACGAAACTGTGGTATCAGACAATTGCTTGCGGAGTACGCAATAAAACACAGCCAGCGCAAAACGCCGATACGCGCGAAATCGACAATAATCCACAGAGAACGAACCTTTGTCGCGTTCTCTCAAGTCTTGCTCTTCCTCTTCGTCCGAAATGAAAGCCTGGGTGAACATGAAGGCCATCAGTCGCTCCACGAGCGAAGACATGCCGTCCTTCCTCCCCTCCAGGGCCACCGACGCTGCCAGGAAGCTCTGGTAGAAAAAAAAAAAAAACGACAAGCAACACCGTCACCACACGCAAAAGGAACCAGGCAATTCGATTGACTCTTTTGTGTTATTCCGTCCCATCTGGTCTGTCTGCACCTGCTGGTACAACATATAGATCTTTTGACGCAACGGAGGAGTTCACACAAATGAGGGGCTCTCAACCTTTCGTCCTGACGTGGTTGCCTTCAACTTTGAACTTGACAAGGGTACAGCAGTCACTTAGGTCTTCGTTACGTGTGCTCACGACTATGCTGTACTATTGTCAACTGATAATTGTAATTTTGTTGACAAGGTGTGCGTTGTCAATGCCAAAGCAATAAGTCAAAGGTCAAGCTTGTCAAACTCACGAGACTATATAACGACAACACCAGCTACACACAACGTACTTCGTACGAAATGTTTCATCTCACCTGGACACACGTCGCCTTGCCCCTTTCCTCCTCCCCGACGAAAAGAGCCTCCTCGCTCATGGAAACCCGGCGATCGGCGCACCTCATGAGCACCTTCAGATGTTCCGGATGGGCAGGGCACGGCAGGCACAATTCGGCGTCAAGACACGTTTCCTGCCTCATCCACAGGGGAATCAACACGCACCATTTAATTTTCGAGACAACGGCACATGGAAATACACGAAGGTACTATGCTCGACCTTCCGACGACCATCGGGAGGGGAATACCTTTGCTGACTCTAGAACTACTCGTCGCCACACGAGGAAAAGTAGGAGCCGACAGCGCGCAGAAAGACAAGAAGGTGCAATTTTTTCACCCTCAAACTCGAAGAATATGCGAAGATAAACACAAAGTACTACCCTCGTGTGGAACTGAGTACTGCAGCGATAGCGAGCATTGACGTACATCCCAAATAGACGCAGGAGGCCGCGCGCCCTGGGCCTCGCGCGCCGACAGGTGCAGGCCTAGCCGACACAGCTGGGGCAGAACAGCGTTCACGCCGCTGGGGTGCCCTTGCCCCTCGTGACCGTCGCCCTCCTGGGACGCGACAACGTGCATCATCGGGTCGTGTATGTGATCGGGGGGCGGGGGAGGAAGTTGCTCATACTTTCGTTCGACTGGGCCTACCGGACAGCAGCCTGATGTCACGCTGTCGCTACCGCGATCGATTGCGCACCCGATCGCTCTGACCCCCTGCGCACCGGCTTCGATTCATTGGGGGCAATGGAGAGGGGAAGCAAAGCAATTTGCGAATGTCGACAAAACCAGCATGCCACCACAGACGTGGTCCTCTCATACTCCCACCAGAGTCGTTGCCCTGCCCTCCCCCTCTGCTATCCCTCCATCCCCGCATTGAAAGGGTGCGAAGTCAACGACTACGGCGTGCATTTTCACGAGTACCCCCCCCCCCCCCCCCCCCCCCCCCCCCCCCCCCCCCCCCCCCCCCCCCCCCCCCCCCCCCCCCCCCCCCCCCCCCCNGTTCCCCCCCCCCCCCTCCGGGACTCCGCAGAATCATGCCATCTCACTCACCTGAAGGAGGGAGGCCAAGAGCCGGTTGCCCCAGGTGTCAGCCCTCATGCTGATCTCCGCCAGCCCAGAGCCTACCTCCACCCACTCCGATGCCAGGAGGACCACTACCCCGAAAACTCCCCCCGCCAGAGCACGAACGGCCGCAGCACCTGCAGCAGCAGCAGCTGCGGTCGCACTGCTAGCATCACCGCTTTCGTTGTCTAGGCTAGCGCGTGCTCTTGACCTCGGAGGAGGCATGGGCGAGGGGGACTCTGCCACCAGCCTCGCACCGCCCGGCTTCACTGTACATGCGGACGTGGACGCAGGAAGCAAACAAGCATGATGTGGTGTCAACAAGCACGATGTGGTTTCACTAAGCATTATGTGGTGTCAACAAGCACTATGAGGTTTCAACAGGCACGGTTTCAGGCATGGTTCTGTACGCTAGCACGACCAAAATAGCAGACGTGTTCGAGACTGAAAGGGCAAAAACAAACAAGCAATGCTCTGATGGTCACTTGGGAGTGGCTTGACTGAATTGTCTCTGCACGGCGTGGCCAGAGAACCTTCAGGGAGGGTGGGAGAGTGATATACGCAACACAAGCGAAGAGAGGTCTACGTTTACCAACCAAAAACAAGGTTCCAGCAGAAACCTAATCTATTCTCATCTGAAGCACCACAAAATCTCGACCCCGCTACCGACAGCATTTCCCCCCCCCCCCCACCCCCCCCTCGGTGGTGTTTGCCATCGGGGTTGGGTTTTCGTCGCTTGGCAACGACGTTGTAAAACAAGCCAATTCACTTCGTGAGCTCTGCAACCAGGTTACCGTTTTTTTTTACCTCTGTTTTTTCTTTTGGCGGCTACCATAATGGTGGTCGAGTAGATATGTTGTACGGGGTCGAGAAGCCTCACTCCGCGCAAGGGGGATGATCGCACCACGTTGTGTTAAAATGGTCAAGCACCCTCGAGGCAGTTACACAGTGCTTACAACTGTCTCTGGAAGTGAAAGCACCAGAAAATAAATTAATTCATACGCAGCTGTCATCCGTACGCAAGGAAGTAAGCACAAGATGCCGAACACCCTTAGCAGGATGCAGCGCACCCTTCATGCGACTCGCCGAATATCTCACGGCGCTTCGCGCTTGGTGATGTGAGAGGCTGGTCCGGTGAGAACCCGGCCTGCTCCGTCCCGGCCNGGGGATGATCGCACCACGTTGTGTTAAAATGGTCAAGCACCCTCGAGGCGTTACACAGTGCTAACAACTGTCTCAGGAAGTGAAAGCACCAGGAACTAAAATAAGTCATACGCAGCTGTCATCCGTACGCAAGGAAGTAAGCACAAGATGCCGAACACCCTTAGCAGGATGCAGCGCACCCTTCATGCGACTCGCCGAAAACCTCACGGCGCTTCGCGCTTGGTGATGTGAGAGGCTGGTCCGGTGAGAACCCGGCCTGCTCCGTCCCGGCCTTGTAGGGATGTGAGGTCAATGGTCTAACGACTTCGGCATGCACGACTATGAGTACACCGCCCCCCATACATGCGAGGTCTATGGTCTACCGACTAGCGTTCACACTACATGAGTACCCCTCCCGTGCATGTGGACCATTCGTCGAGCTTACCCGGGGTGCCTCCCTCCTCGACCATGTCCACAGCAGGACCACCGCCACCGCCACCGCCGACAAGGACCGGGAGCACCGTGTTCGTCGCCCACACCATGAGCTCGCGCATCTTCACCGAGAACGGCATGGGCTGCAGCAGCATCGACATGTCATCTCCCGCCGCCGCGGAGCCCTCGTCAGCAACAGCAGCGGGGAGGTTGCCGCTGCTGCTGTCCCCGACGACCGCCGCCTCCCTGTGCATGTAGACCCGCCCCAGGGCCTCCAAGGCGCGGACGAGGAGGGCGTCGGGGCAACGGCGGCGGAGGGACACTTTCTCCTCGTCCTCACGTTTGACGGTAGCAGTGGTGGTGGTGGTCATGAGAGCGGAGGAGGTGGACGCCGATGAGGACGAAAGGCGAGTGGTTGTGGCTGAGCGTGCCAAGACCAGCACCGCCTGTTCGAGAGAAGAGGACAAAAGAGAGAAGATACTCATCGGCTTGGGTGGGTCAAATGGGCCGGGGGGTGGAGGGTGGGGGAGCGAAACGTCGAGAGAATATCACAGGATAAGGGGTAAAACGTAGCAACAGAGAGTGGGGGGCATATTTTGCAATGTTAGCACGGATAGAGAAAAAGACGTGAGGGTTTCGCATACGGGACCAAGACACAAGCCCAACAGGATTGGTATATCATGCAGCCAGTGGGGGCGGAAACGAAACAGGTAAAAGATCTACCGCAGACGCGACGTCCGGGTTTCGACCTCAGAAAAACCAGTAAAAGCTGACTGCTGGGCTTTACAAGCGCTGCATCACCTGCCACGCTGCTACGTATATATCTGACAAAACGCAACTTCGATCAAAAACTAACAAATTATGCCTCATACATGGGACGACCAAAGTAACTTGAGTCAAGAGCAGTGCTCCCCTAGCTTAGCCCCGAAGTACTTGTTGCCCGCCCGAACTGCTTGTCCTCACGGAAAACAAATGCTCTTCCGGATTTAACGTTCCTACTCCTCTCTCCCACCCTCTCCACTCTTTCTGTGTACCTCCAAACTGCCGACCGCTTCATCGCTCGCCATGATAGCATCACGGGCCGCCCCCGTCGACGGGTGACCCTCGCCTCCCGCCAGCAGGTGGCCGAGCATGTTCAAGGCCAGGGGAGCGGGGATGCACATCCCTCCTCCTCCCCTTCCTCCTTCGTCGTGATCCCCTTCCTTGCGAGAGGAGGGTCGACGGCGCTTTCCGCGTGAATCCCTCCCTTTCCCTTTTATTCGCGACAGAGAGGAATTGGGGGGCACGCACACAGGGATACAGGAGGTTGAGAGGGGTAAACACGGTTGTCGTTCATGTAACGCAGTTTCGCTCAAGAGTTCGCCCTGGGTTTTGTGGGTTCCCTGGAGGCGGAAGACTGGGATACGTTACGTCAACTCCTTCCCAGTCAAGGGTTCCCCAGTATTGTGCTCCATCAGCAGACACGTGACGAGTCTTCAATGGACACAAAGATAGTATTCAATCGGGGTGCGACGGTGTTTTCATCGATTGTCACGGAGTGGAGCGGAAAAGAATTGTTTGTTTTGGACAAATCACGGAGCGCACCCGTATTCTCTCCGCTCTGCCCAAAGAAACATTTTGAACCAATCTGGCAACAATAGAAACCCATGCCGCTGGCCAAAGATTCCAGGCACACGAAAGCCCGTCCGATCGCGCAACACAAGCTCCCGGCTACCATAAAACTCCCGACTGCTTTGCTGCTACCCCGTACCGTCATCCATCTCGCCGCTTCCAGCCTCGTCGACGGCCGTCGTCGTCGTGATCCTCGGTGCGGAAAAAAACTTCCTCAGGCTCTCCACGACCGCTCCCACGAGGTGCTCGTGCTGCCCCCACGAGCATAGCAGGTCGACGGTGGGCCCGTACGCAGAGGGCGGCGCATCCTGCCCTCCCCCCCCCGCCCGTTCGTATACCCAAAAGCGTGCACCAGTACAGCAGCAAAGATCGCTCAGGCAGGTTAGGACAAGAACTGGGAATAGACGGTTTCCTCCTTGACACATCTAGGCGGGCGTTTCAGGGCGTGATCAGCGACCGCCCTCTGCCGTAGCTGTCCACAACTTCCCGTAGGATTTCAACAGTCTCAATTGGTGTTACGAACAATCTTTGCTGCTCGGGCGTTCCCGAACTCGCGCATTTCGTACCCGCACTAGCGTGTCCGACTGTTCGCGAGAATGGAAGAGTAAATGTGAGGTACAAAGGTCGGCATTCCGCTGACAGGACAGATTTGATATATTACTACATATCATGGGTATGTGATTATATCACAAGTGGGGTCGACAAGTACTACGACTAGACCACCAACACGAACACTACAATAGTTCTTTCGGCCAGTAAACAACACACGTTGAGCTTCTTCCCGAAGCGCTCGAAGCGAGCGAGCCTTCAGCATACGTGAATGGCACCACAATAGGCCAGGGAGAATAAAATACAAATTCAAGCGCTCACACAAAAAAGAAACACATGAACAGATATTTTTCAGGCCCTCACTCACCGCGGGCAGGGCAAGCATCTCAACCACGACGTCCTCCAGCATGCCGGGGGCTAGATCGCCACCCGCAAGCCCCGCCAGTCGCATGAACGCCGCCCGGCACTCGTCCTGACCACAAAAACGCCTATACAGGATCGACAACGCCTCGCCTGCTTCGTGTCGGGATCATGGCAGGGTGAACATATTAGCGTAACGGCCAGTAGTCGAGTTGAATGTCGCAATGTAAGCCGCACAAAGCGAGCGCAGAGGGCGAGGGCGTAATGAGCATGCGAGGGGGGGCCGGCTGCGTGGCGAGTGTCCTCGTTTACAGGAAGGCCAACGTGTTGAGAAGGGAGGGAGATCGTTAAGGATAAACATCGTTTTCGGTGGCAAAAATTGCAGCAGGTGGCATGCTTTAACATTTGTGTGCAGTCACGAGTTGAACTACGGCTCGGTGTGCGTGCAAGAACGACGGAGGTAGGGTTGTGTAACGCACAGCAGTGGATTTAATAAAGCACAGCGTAGTTGAATAACGCACAACGCCAGGAAATAACTCTTGTCACCTGTCACCGTCTGCTGGATGAGGTCGAGCGAAGGCTCATTGATGGTCTTCTCAAGGGCGGGCAGGATGCTCTCCCAGATGCTCGCGATTAGGTTCAGGATGCCCGACATGGTCTGCTCAATGAAAAAAACAGCGGTGTATGCGGATGTATCGGGGCAACACAGAAATCTACTGTTGGTCTAGCTCAACAAGTATCACGCTCATAACTTCGAATACAAGTCTACCTTGCGGGAAACGTAGACTATATAGTTTTTTAGGAGCAAATGATGTTTCAAAATTGGTCAGGGGGGTGCCATCATTCTCTCGGCCTCTTACCGAACTATCAAACCTCTCGTCCGGACCCCGGCCGGCACATCATTGCTGCAGAAACGCCAGCGACATCTGCCCAAACGACGCCACCACACGCATCCCAACTAGAGAATGCCATCCTAGAGTATTGCCCTATAAACAACAGCAGCGTATCGGAGCAACATACCCCCCCCCCTGTCCCCGGCCCACACGATTGCGTCGGCCCACAACAACAGGATTTCATCAAAATGGAAAATAAAAGCTACGAACCTTGGAGTCGGACGCCTTCAGAGTCAACCTCGCCTTGTTGCCTCCTTTCGCGCCGCAATGACCCCCTCCCTCCTCCACCCCCTTCCTCTTGCCCCTACGGTCGACCTTCTTCTTCTCCTTCTCCTCCTCTTCGTCGTCGTTGTCAGCAACAGCGGGAGCGCGAGCGGCCACGAGGATGCAGCGCACGAGCATCGCGATCATCTTGGCGGACGAGGGCACCCCGGCGTTCTGGTGGAGGCGGGAGAAGAACGCCACGGCCGCGCCCTCGTCTTGCGACAGCAGTGTCAAGCACCGCGATACTTGGAATGAACCCGTCACTCCAGACCCTGTGTGTGTGTGTGTGTGTATGTTTTGTATTGCAGGGCGGCGGAGCGGAGACCGCATGAACGGGACATGCAGGTAAAAGGGACCCGGTGCGGGCATCGGGGGGTAAATACGTTATTACTTGCTTGGCGGGAGCATAGGGGGGGGGGGGGACTCATAGTCGTGCATGCCGTAGT